GTAATGACAATATCAGTATGAACATCACTAGTTTTTTGTTTGAAAATATTAATATTAATTTATGTATTTTCTTACATTTTGTATTATACAGATGGATATTTGGGCAATTATAGAGTTGTATGATTATATGATGACGGGAATGAATCTGTCGTCATAATGGCATGTATAGTGGAATATTATAGGAAACATTACCATAAGCAGCCGTGTAGGGATTCAATTTTAGAAGGGGAAGGATATATATTGGAGATCTTGAATGGGCATGCAAGTAGATGTTTTGAAAACTTTAGGATGTCCACCCTTATTTTTTTGAAGTTGTGTGGTGAGCTTAGGTCATTAGGGTTGAAAGATTCTAAAGGAGTAAGTGTTTTTGAACAAGTTGGCATATTTTTGTTTACTTTAGCTCGTAATGAAATGAATCGTGTGGTAGCAAAAAGATTTTAACACTCTACCCAAACAATTTCCAAGCACTTCCATTCGGCTTTACAAAAAGTGTGTGATTTAGGGAAAAAAATTATTACTTCCTTAGATTTAACCCTAATTCCTAACCATATAAAAAAATTAAGAAAGTTCTACCATTTTTTGAGAATTGTGTAAGGTCAATTGATGGAACTCATATCCATGCAAACGTACCCGTGGATCAGCAAATACCATTTCGTGGTAGGAAGGGGGATACCACACAAAATGTAATGGCTGTTTGTTTATTTGATATGATGTTCACATATGTTCTAGCAGGGTATGAGGGGTCTACTAATGATTCTAAGATATTGAACGAGTGCATTAATAATGAGGGTATGCAATTCCCACACCCTCCAGAAGATAAATGTCATAGTAGCTACATTTTTTAATTTATTTTAAATATAGTGGTACAATTGTTTATAATTTGTAAAATGGCAAAAAAATATTATTTGGTGGACTCCAGGTATACCAATCAACCAAAATTCTTGGCTCCCTACAGGGGTCAATGGTACCCCTTACAAGAGTACAGTAAGTCTTCTAGGCCACCCCGAGGTAGAGAGGAAATATACAATCATAGGCACTTGTCTTTGTGAAATGTTATTGAGCATTGTTTTGGGATGCTTAAGATAAGATTCCCCATCTTGAAACAAATGCGCCCTAATATAAATTTGAAGCTCAGGTTGCTATTATGGTTGCTATTATTTTAGCCTGTTGTATATTTCACAACTTTATAAGAATGGAGACATAGATAGATGGAATATTTGATGATCAAACTATGGAGGCACAAATAGATGAAATATTTGAAGACGAGGATGATGATGTGTAGGTTAATGTGCCGCAGTCCGAGTTGCGAGCAATGGATCAATTACGTAATCATATTGATAATAGTATATGGAAAACAATTCCGCACCCTTGATATTACATTTAGGCGTTTAACATGTTTGGATAACTGTAATAACTACTTTATTTTAACTCTCTTTTAGGAGTTGGATAAATGAAATAATTACATTTTAACTTTCTTTTAGAATTTGGATAACTGTAATAACACGTGCCAAGTATTCATTACACATTTTACCACTTCTATATGCAATCATGTATAAGATATAGGGTGAAAAGCCACCTTGTGCATGTGGAAGGGGTCCAATGAATCTTTATATAGCTGGAACTCCAAAGAATTATGGATGGCCATTCTATAAATGTCCAGCTTGGGAGGTTTAGAACCCATTGAATGCCAATTTTTATTTTTATTTTTTATACATATATGTTATTGTCATAGGGGCATTATAATTATATACAAGTATTTGATGTTTTAGTCACATGCTCGTGTATTTATATGGTTGGATAACATGCACCAACGTGTGCAAGTGGGTGGTCATGTGGATCAAAAGTTGGAGAATGTAGTTGTTGTTATGCAAGCTCAACAATATAGGCAAAACTACATCATCTAAGGTGGTTGCTTTTGCCTTACTAAAACTATATTATTTATGTTATTGCTAATGTTGTTTTTGTTGGTTATTGTGGCTGTTGACAAATGATGTAATATTTATGTTTTAGAATGCTTAAGATGAGTTTTGGGAGTAAGAGTGCTCATGTGGTGAGTTTGGTGTGTGTGTTTGAGAGAGAGACATGAAATGTTTAATCTCTTGAAACTCATGTCTGTATAGTGACAAAAAAGTTTGATAATAATTTGTTGACCAATTTTTTCATAGTCTATTTCAATTCAATATTGAAATAATGTCTTCTAAAATTTTCAAAATAATATCCAACATTCATAAGCTTTATAATTTCTAATTCATCAAATTTGACAACAAATCAACCCTCCAAAATTTTTTAAAAAGGTAAAAAAATAAATAAAAAGAGTGGTATGGTAAAATATAGAGAAAATTACCATCAAGTTTTACTTTTTTAATTTAAAGATAAATAAGTCTTAAAATTTTCCTTTAGTAAATTAGATATACTCTTGCTAAAATAGGTATAAAATCAAACTTTCATTTTACAAAATTAGACAAAAATAAAATTTAATTAAAAGGGAAGAAAATACATTTTTTTTTGGTTTTTATAGATTAGTTAAAAAAAAAATTGTAATATAAAGCCATAATGTAATATTATTAAGTAAACTAAAACTTAAAATAAACTATAAAAAAAAAAAAAAAAATTAAAAGTTATATCAATTGTAGAATAAAATTAATAAATAATAAAATTCTACTTTATATTTAGTAAAGTTATAAATTTTCAAACCTTATAAAACAATGTACTCTTATATATAAATAATAATGTATTAATATAATTTAAAATTTCAAAAAAAAAATTGAAAACACTCCTTATTAAATATATTTCATATTTTTGTTTCAGTAATTTTTGCTACAGTTTGACTCTGTCAAATATGTTTTGTTTTCATATTTCTTAAAACAAAATACCTTGCCAAACATGTTATACATGTTTCTTTTGCGTAATTCTCACTGCAAATTTTTGTCGCCAAACATGTTTCTGTTTTCAACTTAGAAAACTTTATAACAAAACACTTGTTTTGTTTTAGGCTAAAACAAAATGTTAAAAACACAACGCGTACCAAACAGGCCTTTAGTCACTATGCTTTAAAACTCGGGTAAATTGCATTGACACCCCTTGACGTTTCGGTCAATGTCACTTGGATGCGAGTCAACGACTTTTTTAATAATGACACTCCATTTGATTTCAAATGTCATATTTGCCCCTGATTATTTAATTCAATTAATTTACAAAATATTAGTTCTGTTAATTGACAAGACTATCCTTGTCTTTAAGCCTCTTTCTCTACCCTAACTTCTAACTCTTTTTTTTTTGGTTGGTTCATTTTAATACTTACCTAACCGCCGACACTCCTTCTTTCTCTTCCCGATCTCGAATATGGCTGTTTTTTTATTATTATTATTTTTTTAATTTTTTTTTTTTCCTGTTGTGGTGGGTCTACGCTGGTTATAGTTGTTTTTATTTTTCTACTTTGGTGGTGGTTGTTGTGGTGTGGTTGTGGTGGTGTCAAGATTATCAGGGTGTTTCAAAAATTTTATTTTTATTTTTTCTATTGTGGTGGTGGTGGTGGTGGTTTTGATAGAGTCTGGGTGTGTTGGTAGTGTTGTCTTGGTGTGGTAGTGGTTCTGGTGGTATTTGACACATATAAGTATGGGTTGGCCATGACTATTTTCAATTTTTTTTCTACTATGCTATTTAGGTGTGGTGGTGTACAGTTATCTGGCTATTTCAAAACAATTAATTTAATTTTTTATTTTTATGGTGTGGCGGTGGTGGTTATGCTGGAGTTCAATTATCTGGCTATTTCAAAAAAAAAAAAAAAAAAAATCTTTTTTAGAGGTCAAATTCGTAATTTCATGATTTAACTAGAGTTGTTGATAAGTCAAAGGGTTAAAAGATAATTTCATATGGTTTCAGAGGTCTGGAGGGGGTGTCAATGCATATTTTTGAAACCTTAGAAAGTGTTAATGTAAACAAAAGTCATTGACTGTCCGCTAAGTAGCGTTGACTAAAGCCTTTAGGGGTGTCAGTGCAATTTACCCTTAAAACTCAAGTAAAATGTAACTTTTGTTGAATGATTTTTTTTTTTTTTTTTTTTTTTTTTTTTTTTTTTTTTTTCTTTTTTTTTTAAAAAACACTTTGATATTTCTGTATTTTCATAGAGTGTTGTTTTCACTTAGGGGCCCACAATTTTCTATTTGTGTTTTCATCAGTTCCCTCTATATATATAGACTAAAAAAAACACACTTTGATATTTCTGTATTTTCTTAGAGTGTTGTTTTCACTTAGGGGCCCACGATTTTCTATTTGTGTTTTCATCAGTTCCCTCTATTTATAGACTAATTAGGGTTTGATACCTTTTTTAAATAATAACGGTTGGTCAATTCACTAGTTGACTAACATATGTTAAATACATAATTGTTGATTTCTTTTACTGGCAAAATGACAAAATAAAAAAAAAAAATTTCATCTTATGTTGTGCTATATGTGTAAGATTTAACTAAAATAATATTTAACTTAATTTATATATTGATAATTTTTTTGTAAAACACATTAATAATTATATTCAACTAGTTTTATATTTTAAAAATGTTATAACACTACTAAATATACCACTAAGATTAGTACTCTTGAAGTTTTGAATTCAAGTTTTCAGGTAAAATGTGTACACGTGTAATTTTGGGAGAAGAGGAAAAAAAGGAGGTGGGTATAAAAATTGTGGAGGCATTTGTATAATTACCTAAAAATTTTATAGGTAAAATTAGTACGGAGTACTATATAAAAATTCAGTTGGGGTCAAGTGCCCCCACTTTCCGTTTCTGTGTAAGATTTTTTGTTTCTCAATCTTACCACCATAATTGCCACTGACCTTTAAAAATAAATTACTTTTTGAAATTTAAATTGTTACTAATATTAGTATCTCCTAACGTTAAAAATAGTACTTTTACTTACAGTTACAATCACATTTTCGCATGCGTATGAGATTAAATTTTTATTATTTCACCACGTAACAGAGTTAAAGAAGAAATGGAGGCTTAACAAAATTGAACTTTCAAATCAAATTATTTAATGATTCAATTTCTGGAATGAGACGCTGAGGCGATTCAATTATTCCCTATACGTGTACTATAAAGAAAATAAAGACCCTATTATTATTTTTTACCTAAGACCCTATTATTTCAACTGCTTCTTAACTGGGAATCAGTCGTCGGCTTCCGGCTGTAAAATTATTGATCGCAATCCCAAATGGTGATGATGGTGATGCATGATAGCTGAACTAGTTCTACATGGCATCCTTGGATAAAAGATTGACCGTTTCGATTCTCCGAGCATTGCAGAGATCATCAACACCGTCCCCTCTTTCAAAAACAGCAGCAGCTCCCATTCCCGTGCCTGCAATTCAGTTACAAACATCCGGATGTTTGTAAATATATGTTCAAGCAATACATAATCACACACACAGAGGATAGAGAGAGAGAGACCTATGCACATTGAAACCACACCAAAGCGGCAATCTTTTCCACGACGCTTCATCTCGTGCAATAGGGTAGCAACACAGCGTGCTCCTGTGTAAAAGATACAAGCTGACTCATGAGAGAACACAACTATTTGAGTGTAGCTCCACATTGTATTTGTTTCTTAAATATTAAATTTGTATCAGTTGGTCATCATGTTGATCTTGAATGAATAGATTATGAGAGTGATGTGAAGGAATTATATAATGTGCATGCAGCTACAATTTGTTTTATTCTTTATAGATATGCCTATTTTCAAGCAATACGAGAAGACCAAGTAAGAAAGGTCTTGATACCTAACATAACTTCTCAAATCAATTTATATTGAACAAACATGTCAGCTTCCAACAAAAATTAATTCTAGTTGATTCATATTATAGGGAGCACTAGGTAAAGTTTTCTTTGGGAGGGGAGGGAGGTGTGGTTGGGGGACGTTTAATACATAACAAGAACTGCAAAGTTTACCTAATCCAAGCACCCCAAATATATCGCTAAAAGCCTCTTAAGCAGAAGTAATCTTCACTTTGAAATCCCATTACCAGCGCTCTAGATATTAGCATTTCTCCCATAAGGTATCTGAGCTAATTTCCTACTTAGCAGAATCATACCGAAACACCTGCATCATATCTACTAAACCACAACACACCGGGAAAACAACTTGTCCTTTTTCTCATCCTAAAAGTAACTCAGTTTTACATATTTGTGAGTGAACAATTGGATGGGCCGTGTTCTCTATATACAGCAGTAATCATCATCGTGTTTTCTATGCGCTAAATCATCTTAAAAAATATGCTCCACTCATGCAATAAGCAATATTAGACCCAAGTCCACAACGAACAGCAGCTTATAGATAGCCTAATTTAGATATATAATCTCTGTTTCACATATTAGTATGTCTTTTTCCTACCTACTCAAATGGTAAGCTGCATTAAATCTCATGCTATATAAATCACTGAAAAACACCTCTAATTTGCCAGTATGTACTTTTCTTAGTTCTTAGTTTCCCACCATTTCTTCCTCAAAACCCATTTTGATAAACCAGAATAATAATGTGCTACTTTTAAAGGTCCATTTAAATCTTTCAATTGAATAAACATCTTTCAAAAGTCATATTGCTGAAGCAGACTGAACGAAATCATGGCATATTTGAACGAAATCATGCCATTTTGTAGATCTTAGATCTTAACGTTCATTCACTCTTGGTTACCATTCTGACATATTTACAACAGTAACAGTTCAGAAACTCGCATAATGATTCAGGCTAATTGCTGAAACACCGGATTACCATATTACATTAGGAAAAAAAAAAAAGTAGTAGAATGGATAATCACGATATGGAATGCTTTTTGGTGTAAATCATACTGAAGAACACCTAGTTTTTTATGACAAACAACCTTCAATAGTTTCAGAAACTCATACAGTAATTTCCAAATCACTGAAGGTGAGTCTATGTAATTTAATGTGTGGTGTAAGTACCTGTTGCACCCAAAGGATGCCCGATGGCCATAGCACCTCCATTAACATTGATCTTTTCTGGATCAAGATCCAGCTTCTTACGGCAATATACATATTGAGAAGCAAATGCCTATCCAAAGAGCAGTAAACATCAGAATGGTTGCAGAAATCATTACGACATCATAAATAATGAAAATAAAGAAAATTTATCTATAATTACCTCATTTATCTCAAAAAGATCAATATCATCGAGTTCAAGACCAGCAGACTTGACTGCAGCTGGAATTGCAGCAGCTGGACCAACACCCATAATAGCAGGATCAACACCAACAGCAGCGAATGTCCTGTAAGAGCAAAACCATTTAGTTTTTTTTTTTTTTTTTTTTTTAATCCAAATATTTAGAAGGTAGCTTCACTTTTTACTCTTGATTTCGAGGGTTCCATCCATGAAAAGATGGAACCATAGGGAAACTAGTGTCCCAGCATAGATTTTGAAATACAAAGAGCTAATGTAGTGATTGGTGCCTAATTACCAAACTAAGGTGTCTAGTGCACTAAAGAATCAAATGAAAATATTACCTAAATTTGCTTTAACTCAAAAGTATAATCAGATTATGTTGTGGTCTCAACACGATGTCATCAGCCTCAAATAAGCTGAGGGCTTTACTTGAGAAGGTCATGACTCCATTAGTTTGCAAAGTATATGCTTTGATTAGCACGGATCATCCGTGAGAGTACAATCAAAGACAAGTACAGTCTAAAAGACATTGTCACTTATTATTAGTATCTCAGTCTAGAAGGAAAATTTTCAGAAATAGGTCTACATAAAGGTTAACTTATTCCAAAGAGTAGTCATGTTGATAGATATTAAAAAGTACTACATAAAAGTAGGAAGAGTTTATGACCATTAAGTTAAAAAAATTCAATAAAAAGAGCTTGTTTTCAGATTCTAGATAGAGATGTTTGTAGCACCAAAAAAAAAAAGAGGGAATAGGAATAAGGAATCATGCAGCAGACCCATTTACATGGGAAGAAAACTTCTCTTAGTTGTGTTGAATTGACTTGAGATGAACTTATACTGAATCAGCATGCAAGACACTGATGAAGGATGTTGTGTTCATGTGCACTTATGGTTTGGTGAAAGACATAATGAGAAACACAAGTCCAACAACTAATTGGTGCTGATTATTGATTCCCAATGAAAAGCCTGGATTGTATAACAACAACAAACAAAGCCTTTTTCTCAACTACTTTGGGTTGGCTACATGAATCTTATTTTTCCATTCCACTCTATCTAAGGTTATAGCCTCAGTTAAACCAAATGTTACCATATCCTTCCTTACTAACTCTAATCACATTAAGTCAGGTACTCCTGTTCCCCTAAGCATAACCCTCAAAGTGAACCATGTCACTCTAATAAACTGGCGCACTTTATGGTCTTCTTTGCACATGTCCAATTCATCTAAATCAACTCTCTGTCATTTTATCTCCAGTTGGTGGTACTTCAACCATCTCACAATGTGTTCATTTCTAATTCTATCCTTTCTCCTCTTGCCAAACATCCATCTCAACAAACGCATTTCTGTCACTCACTCTATGCATATGTTGTTTCCTAACTGTCCAATATTCTGTCCCATAAAGTACGTCTGGTCTAATAGCTGTGTTATACACCTTTTCTTTTAATCTTAACAGGATAAGTCAACCACAAAATATACTAGATGCACTCCTCCGTTTAACCCATACTTCCTTGATTCCTATGGCTAGCATAATCTCCAATTTCTCCATCATTATGAATAATTGAGCCTAAATAACTAAAAATGTTCACTTTTTTGTACCTCCTGATCCTCAATATTCACTACATCCCATTTGTATTTTAAGAATTACTGAAGTTACACTCCATTTATTAAGTTCTAATTCTACTCATCTTAAACCATTTTAGTTCTAGAGCTTCCCTCCAAACCTCTAATTTGGCACTAACTCCTTCTCTAGTCTCATTAATTAAAACAGAATTATCAGTAAATAACATATACTACAAAATCTCATTTTAAATGTGTCTTGTCAGTTCAACCATAATTAAGGCAAAAAGGTATGAGCTCATAGTCGTTCTAACTTCTAACCATAGTAACACATCCACCATACATGTCCTTTATTTCATCAATATATGCCTTTGTGACTCCTTTCTTTTCTATAATCCTCCGTATTAGATCTCTAGGTACTCTATCATAGGCTTTCTCTAAATAAATACAAATCATTTGAATATCTTTCTTCTTCTCTATATATCTTTCATTAGTCTCCTTAATAATTAAATAGCCTCCATCACTGACCTCTCCAGTGTGAATCCAAATTGATTTTCCAACACTTCATTCAACCGTCTTAATCATTGTTCAATCACTCTCCCCTAAAGTTTCATAGTATGACTTATTAATTTAATACCGTGACAATTATTGTAACTTCATAAAGCCCCTTTATTGTAATATATAGGTATTAACATACTTTTTATGTCACTCATCATACATTTCTTAGTTGCTATTATCTTATTAAATAATTTTGTTAGGCAAGACAGACCACCCTCCCCTAAACACTTCCAATTCTCAATAGGAATGCCATCTGGCCTTAAAAACACTTCCTGATTTCATCTTCCTTGAATTTTTAACCTCGCACTCCTTCACCCTACGAAAAAATATGTTATCCCTAAGATTTATTCTTCTAAGCTTGAACTTCATCGTAATTTCATTTGATACTTTCTCAAAAAATAAAAAATAAAAAAATCTTCCATTTTCCTTTAATATCACCATCGTTTACTAAAACTCTTAGATCTTCACTCTTGATACATTTAATATGACTAAAGTATCTAGTTTTCTTCTCCTTTAGTAATATCCTTCTTCCCATCTTTTGTGCCTAATTTAGAATCGAGATCATTATATGCTCTATATTTTCCTTTGCTTACTACTTTTTACCTTGCTTATTGACATTTTTGTACTTTTCAAAGGTTTTGGTATTTCTACTTTTTTTTTCCACGATTTATACTACTTCGGTGTTGGACGTCTTCATTCCACCACTAAGTTTCCTTAAATAATGGTCATGTTCCTTTTGATTCTCCTAGAACATCTTTCGCTACTCTTATAATTATATGCAATAATCTTATTCCACATTATATTTGTTTCATCTCTACAGTCCATTTTGTTTCTTTTAACATCCTATTCTTAAATAATTCTACTTTCTCCCCTCTTAAATTCCACCACATAATTCTAAGGTTTATAATTCTATTTCTCCTTTTAGATTGTCATTTTATATATACATCTAAAACTAATATCCTATGTTATGATGCTAAACTCTCCTTGGATAACCTTACAATCTTTGCTTGTTAATATCTCCAACTTTCTAGTTAGAAATAAATCGATTGACTCAAATGAAATTTCTTTAGCAGGGTTGACCTTAAATATGAATAATAAAAAAATAAATTTAAACATAAATAATGAATTCAAAATGTAAATGTTGATCGTTGATATATTCATTCAACACATTCCTAATTGTACTCAATAAGTTTTTATGTTTTAAAAATGCTGCATTATAACACCACTACCAATTTCATTAAATATATTCGATGGAGGGATAAACCAATGGCCCTTTCGATTTTGCAAGCAAGCTTGGTTGGATTAGCCCACTTTTCTGTAGGTTATATATTTACGTATGCAGCTTTCTTGATTGCCTCGACATCGGGTAAATTTGGTTAATCCTTTTTTTTTTTTTTTTTTTAATTTTTTTTTTTTTTTAACGTGTGGCTAAGAAGCACAAATACGGATACGGGACACGGATATGGACACGGCGACACGACAAATCCAAAAAAAATAGGACACAGACACGGCGAATAGTGTATATATATATATATGATGTAGTAGTTGAAAAATTACTGAATGTTACTATTTTTCATCAACCTCACAATGAAAAAAAATACACAAATCATAAATCATAACTAATAAACTATAAAAAAACAATGTTGTAGAGTTATAAAACCAAATAAAAAACAAGACATTAGAATAATAACTAGTATCATTTAATTACAAGTTTAAAATTATTATGTATTGACCACATAAGTAAGTAAAAGTTGTTAAATAACTTCACATATTTATACTTTAACCCAATTTTCTTTCAAAAATTATCTTTTAGACCCCCGAAAATAAGACACGTGTGTCGGACACACACCCTTGGCGTGTCGGACGCGTGTCCGTGCCGTGTCCGAAAATTTAAAAAAAATAAAAAAATTCCAGACACGTTTTTTGGTGTGTCCGACACGTATCGGGGCGTGTCCGACGAGTGTAGGTGTCCGACACGTGTCGAACAAGGATTCTTCACCCATTTTTGCGTCCCTGTGCTTCCTAGCCGTGTGGTATGTTATATTCGCGATAATATAATATGTATAATTAAATATTTCCGTGATGATAATTTCTTCTTGCCAAATATATATATATATACACACACACATATATATAGACAAGAAAAACAAGCCATCAGACGAACCTAGTCACTACGGCTTGGTCTGGTTAGATAGAAAATATGAAAATGAAGCGAATATTCTTTAACATTTTAAATAGTAGGAAAAGGAAAATTTGAGGGAAGGTAATTTTTCATAACCACATAACTTTTCCATGATTTTTTCTTCGAAAAGCATGTTAGGTCAATAGGACTTCGGTTGGCAAATTTCAATCAAAACTAGAATCTATAACTTTTGTTTTCAATTCTGGCTTAGATTAGAAAATTTCAAAATTTAGATAGTGCTAGTGACCTTTTAATATCGGAAGATGGAATTCATGCTATATTCAAGGGTACTTTGATAATCTTTATTCAACAAGGGTATAAAGTAAATTGACACATTGATGAACTCAACAAATTAGAGTTCATTCATACAAATATAGGATTTCTAAAAGTTATATGATTTCAATTTGATTTGATTCCCCAAGTGTTTTAAACTTGCAAGGAAAGAGTTGTTCGAAACTTGCTTGCTCAAAATTTTCGATCCATCGAGGTATATCAATTGAAGGCCTCTAGAATGAGTGACATCGATCGATCAACATGTATTTTGACCAATTGAGTAATTTGGAATAGCAATTTCCAACTTGGTTTTAAAATCTGCAAAAAACTACTCTCTCTTTATTACCTTCCTGCCTATAATTACAAAATACTTGGGACTCATATTATACAAAAGAGCTTTATATTGTGAGTTTTTTACAGTACGTCTCAATTTATAATTGCATTCATCATACTTAATTTTGGCAAGAGTGTAACCTACATGTGTTGACAATCTCTACTGTGTACTACAAAGATAAGTTCAACACTATTGTTCAATCCACGACCTGATTGACGTCTAGACAACTAGTGGCTGAGACCGAATCATTAGAGAAGCAGGTTCCTGAGGAGTGGGCGTTGTCGATGAGTGGAAGAGCAACTTAGAGACTTTCAGGGGAATATTTGGAGTCATCTATGTCAAGAGCTAACTACAGAATTCTTGATGTAGCATCTATTGACCTAGGTTGCAATCTCTTTCCCATGTAGTGGATTGGGTCTGCCTGACTAGGTCCCGTGGTTTTCCTTCTTAGGGGTTCACATAAAATTCGGGTGTCTATTGCTTTATGTTTTAATTGCTTATTACTGCTGTGGATTGTTAAGTTTTACTATCTGCTAAATTTGAGTTTAATTTTGTTGTTAAATTAGTTTTAACTTTAAAATTAGTTAAATCCGTTAATAAGTTCTACAAGATCTATACACCCCAACCCCTCTAGGTCTGTATAGTGGACCTTGCGCGACTCTCTATCAGAGCCTCAGGTTCTGGTCCTAGAAACTATCAAAATGAAAAAGTTATATGAATTTCCATTTATGTCCTTTCATTTTTCTCTCTCTAAAATAAAGTGGATGTGTTACTTTATAAAATAAAGGTATAATGGTCCATATATCTCCCAGTGAATGAAGAACTATTTATTTAGATTCTCATATTCCTTTTAATTACTAAAAAAGACCAGAAAATATTTATTCAAAACAAATATATTAATTTGTTAACCTGTTTAATAAAGTTAAAGGATAATTTAAGTAAACAATAATATTTCCTTGTAACTTTCATGTTATTCATACCATTAAAACGTAATTACTATACAACTTTCTTTCAAAATTTTCATTCTAATGGAATATTTGTTTGGAAAAATTATTGTCTCTCACTTCACTTTTTATTACTTTCATTTTTCAAAATCTTTTTTCTTTCCTATTTGAAACTCACATACTACTTTAACCCTACATGGACTTGAACCCTACCTTCCACTTTGGAAGGCAAGCAAGTATCACCACAGTATCTTTTTCAATGAAGCCTAAGTTGCATAAACGTGCTTCTTCCTCCCTTCTTTTCCTTTACAAGACTAAGGATCTTTTTATATTCCGTGGAAGCATTTTTACAATTACCAAAAGACATGCAAAACTAAAATGACAACAAAGTTGAGCGAGGGCAGTTGCCCGTCTCCAGCATTTTTTTTTTCTTTTCCTTTTTGTAGGTGTGGGTAGGGAGGAAAGTTGTACACATGCTTCAAACTTAGCTGTGAAACTTATTCTAGATTAAATTCACCAGAGCCGCAATGTAGCAGTTGTATACCTAAATACACCAAGAATTGGTAGTCCTTTCTTCATTGCGATACTTTTCTTCATGAGGAGTACAGCCCCAGCACCATCGCTCACTTGGCTAGAGTTCCCTATGATATAAGCACCAAAAAGTCAATGCATTCAAAATTATTATTATTAATTTTTTCAGATAAAATTTAAATATGCAGTGTTTCAAGTACCAGCAGTTGTTGTCCCGTCTTTCTTAAATACAGTCTTCAGTTTTCCCAAATCTGCCATTGTTGCGTTTGGCCGAATTCCATCATCAGCAGAGATTGTCACTGGTTTCTCATCTCCCGTTTTGGGATCAACAATCTTTTCCAATGAAATATAAATCAGTGACTAAACAAAGACCATAAAAAAAAAATAAAATAAAATAAAGCCTTTCCCAATTACTTGGGTATAAATTAACAAAAATAATTAATTTAAAAAAAAAAACATCATATCACCTAAACTGCAATTAAACAGTTGGTACCTTGGTGGCGACAGGTATTATTTCATCTTTAAATTTACCAGAAGCAGTCGCAGCGGCAGCCTTCTTGTGTGACTCAACCTAACAACAAACATACAAGGAAATAAAAAACATAACCACAGAGAGAAACCAACCCATTGACAAATCCATCCAACTTACCGCAGCTTGGTCTTGCTCCTTCCTTGTTACACTAAAACGATGTGCAACATTTTCTGAAGTAAGACCCATGGGAAGAAGACAATCCCTCGCTTGTGCCATTTCCTTCACCTGGTACAATTAGAACAAGTTGTCAACTTCCGAGAAAATCCTGCTAAAGAAATTGATTCCCAGAGAGAGAGAGAGAGTACTTTTGGATTGACTGATCCTTCCCAAGCCATCGGGTTTGTTGTCATTGATTCCAACCCAGCCCCAATCCCTATGTAGGAAAGATTTTAACAAAATGAATTACATAATAGGCAAAATCTCTGCATTACATGCACTTATAAGCCATCCCCAAAAAATAGATGCACCCCTTACCAATGTCATAAAATCCAGCTTTAATAGCGGCAGCTACATCAGCAACTGCTTGAAGGCCAGAGGAACATTGCCGATTCACAGTTCTAATTGGTACAGTTTCTGCGGTAAAGACAGCATACATGTCAATGATGCAATGATACCAAAAACCATAAAGAATACACACAGAGATGTACCAGGGAAACCAGCATAAAATGCAGCCATCCTGCATTCACTGGCTCTTTGGGAGCCTGGTGCCAGTACTGTGCCCACTATAATATCCCCAACTTCACTTGGGTTCAAATTTGTTTTCTCTATCACAGCCTGTACCATATTCATCATGAGAATGAAGTAATTTGTTTCAAATTGAAGTCGAAGAAATCCAATATATAATGAGATAATGAAAACAACAAACCCGCAAAACAGGCGCAAGCAAGTCATCAGGATAAGTATCTTTAAAACCACCCCTCTTTGACTTGCAAAGTGCAGTGCGATATGCACTATACAAAACGAAAAACACAAAATATGTAAGATAAAGGCAGAACTAAATGATTAAATTTATATAATTCAGAAGAATACACACTGAAATGGTCTAAAGATATCATTTCAACAGCAGAGCTACTTACGCTACTATGACAACATCATCCCCAAAGACAGAAGTCCTGTGGTACGCAGCACTATCCCCAGCAGAACAGACAGATGCCTGGTTGTGAAGAATAAGACTCATAAATACACTGATTGAGTGAGAATAAATAAACGGATGCACTCTTCTGACTGCTCAAGATGCAAACTTTACACTGTGGTCCTAAAATTGTAACTGCAATTCTAGTTATTACATATCAAAAGGGTGATTATGAAGGTGGGAAGATCCATCTGAAATGGTAGTATGGTACAAAATATAACAAACTCAGAGGACCATTCAGTCTATTTCCAGCTCATTTTTTTTTTTTTTTTTAAAAAAAAAAAAGAAAAAAAACATTTCTGCCAAAACTAAGGCCCTGTTTGACAACCGTTTTGTTTTATTTGTGTTTTATGCTTTCATTTTTTTTTCTTCTTCTTTTTTTATTTTTATTTTTTTTTATGTGTGTTACATGTTCTCATTTTTTTGCTTCCAAAAATATTGCAACAAATTTTATGGTACCAAACATGGTTTCAATCACAAATGAAGATGCTCCACAACAAAAACGTTGTTTAAAACACAAAATGAAGACGCCAAACAGACCCTAAGGCTCCATTGTTCAAGATAATGAGTGAAATTTTTGGTCCTGCTTGGTTCATTTTTTTTTTTTAGAACAGTATTATGTTGTTTTCAGAGAAGTAAGGAATTTTGTTTGATTGAGAATTTTCTGGTTAAAAATAATAAAAAAAAATAAGAAAAAAAAAATGTAAATTCAGATAATTGAACCAAATAGATCCTTTATTATCCAGTATCAGTTAGGTTCACGAAAAATATCTAATTTACACTGACTAATTTTTGTTCTCTGGAGAAAATTTCTGAACGAACAGATAATTATACGAATTCATGGCCAAGGACTTCAATTTGTTTAAGCAGAACATACAAGCAAATACGCAAAATAGATATGTGTTCATATGAAATGTCGATCGAGAACATTTTCGATTCAGCAGTGAGATTCAATCAAACTACAGATAATGAAATTGAAATCTCCAAATCCGAGCTACAAGAATTTTGCTAAATAAAATCGATTTCAATACAATAAATGTTATCAAACGGACATTGAACTTACAGCGAGAGAGGATTGAATGTCTTCCAGAGAAGAGGACGAAGAAGAAGGACGAAGGTGTTGGAGCAAAACTCTCTGTCTCTCAATTGCTTTCTCCATCACTCTGAAATTTTACTCTCTCTAAATCTATAGGTGTATATATCGCGAGGGAAGAAAACAGATCGATGATGTACGTATATACTTATATAGATGAATATATATATATATATATATATATAATAAATTAATTTATTTCTTAATTTGGAAAGAATTTAATTGGATGAAAAGTTTATGGGAAATGAGGCCCAGAGGGATAAAATATAACGCCGTGTGATTTTTTTCTGTTAAGAGGTAGTGACGATGAAAGCTCATTAATTATTGACTCTATCCATGCTCAGTCCTCATTTTTAGGGCGTTTAGGACACTCAAAAATATAAGTTTACAAAAGAATTCTTATAGTATAAATATAGATAGACAAACATCAAGTGATAAGTGGTATATTCTTGCCTTTTAGAATAGAAATTTATATTTTAGAAGGCAAGACTTCTAGTTTTTTTTTTTTTTGGAAGTAAAAGTAACTTACATATATGGGATGGTGATTTGAATTTGGGCCATCTGGTCACAAGCACCGACATCCTACCAACTATCAACTGGGCTATTACACCACACCCAAACAAGACTTCTAGTTGCACACAAACGAGAAGATGAATATCTGCCCAAAAACCAGAGAGCATGTGAATCAAATGAGCAGGTGAATATCTTTAAAAAAAAAAAAAAAAACTCTTTCAAGAGAGCAACTTTGTGATAAGTAATAAGGAAAAAATAAATTTTAGTGATAAAATTTAAATAATATTGCTCTAAAGTGATTAAAAAAAAAACGTAAAAATAAATAGTAACTAAATTTAAAAACTTAAATGTTAATAAATGACATTTGAAGAATAATTTTGTCAAATCATTATTTGCTTAAAAAGACTAAGTGACCTTTATCTCATTCACACCCATGTGTGGCTCCTCTATCTTCTCAAATCCTAGAATGGTTCCAACACACAATTATAGCATGCCAGTATCCCGAATAGGGATGTCAACGGGTAGGTACGACACGGGTTTTTCTAAATTCATACTCGCCCTATTTAATTATGGACAATCTCACACTCGCGACAACAAGTTCGGACCCATGTCAGGTTTAGTGGGGGCAAGTGTCCCTATTGGAATTTTAAAAATTCTGGGTAAATATATAAATGCCCTTATAACTTTATCCTTTGCCTCCATTGATTTTTTTCTTCTCTCACTCACGCCTTCATTATTGTTTAAAATTGCCCCATTGAAACAAATTTCTGGGTCCGTCACTACGCGATAGGTTTAAAATTTTATCCCATACTCGCCCTTACGATACATAAATGGTTCCCAAACTCGTGCCAGTAGGGACGGGATAGGGTGGGGCTCTGGCAAGGTGGAATAAATTGACATCCCTAATCCCGTTAGCTTGTAAAGATGAATTCGTAGTCATTGTCATCATGGCATTCTTGTCGCCAAGTCTTATCCGAATAAGGTAAACAAAGTTAAATCAATTCTCTCAATATTCTGATATAACATTTTGTCCAACAAAATATTTTATGTTGAAACACAGTTTTTCGTGAATATTTTGTTGATCGAGTCTGAAAAACCAAACAAGGGGATGTAGTTTAGTGGTACTTTTTCACCTTCCAAAGTGAAATGACAAGGGCTTAAGTCCTTATAGAATCAAAGTGGGTGTATGAGTTTCTTGCCAAGGTATAAAAAAATAAATAAATAAATAAATAAAAAGTTTGAAACACCAAAAACAAAATGATGGTTTAGTTCAAGTAGCAGCAACTATGAAATAATTTCATTTGAGCACCTGAGTAATAGTTTATTTACAAATTTATTATAAGAAGAACATTTAGGTAACCCATCAAATAATCAGTTTTTAGTATTTTAAGTTTAATGGTCACTTATTAACATTTACATTTTAAATTTGGCGACTATTTATTTTTTAAACATCAATTTTGTTTATATTTGTTCTTTAAAATTTAATTTTTCCTCATATGTATTAATAATCTTGTTCCAAACTTGTCTGCCAAAGAAAAAGTAATTACCCCACCCCATACTTATAACATTCACGATGACACCTTGTCATATATAATATTACTAATATCTACTAGCCAATTTGTTACTTAATCATTGTAACGACCTGAACTTAGGGATCCGAATCAGTAATGGGGTCTTTACCTGAACCCGAGGACATACGAGGGTACTATGGTCATTTCACATTTATATAATAGTTCTAGGGTTCCCAAGGGTAAAATAGTCATTTAGCATGGTCAAATATGGATTAGAACCTTAAAAGGGTAAAACTATTATTTACTAAGGTCATTCAATTATTATGATGAAGTTCAGTGATAATTAGTTAATTATACTAAAGTTTGGGGTCAAAATGCAAAATCTTGTCCATCTAATGGATCAGATGGCCCTATCTGATAGATTAAATGGCCATTCCAGTAAGGTTGCAGAGACTGAGGACCATCTTACCAGTTAGATATGATCAAATGGTCCCATTTGATCGATCAGATGGTGAACCCAAAAGACATGCCCACTGCCCAGCCCATCTAACCAATTAGATGGGGGACTTTAATCGATTATATAGTTCCCAGATTAGATCTAATCGATTAGATGTTCCCATCTAACCAGTTAGATAATGCCCAAAACCAATGTAATCGATTAGATCACCTCATTGCCCCGCATAAATGGTACCTAAGCAACACTTCATGAAAAATATAACTCCATGGACATCATTAATCTTAAGAACATTGCATGGATCATCAAATATCATCTTTCATGCATCATGTAAGGATCAAAATCTCCATAATCCATTACATACATTCCCAAAAGAATAGATTTACAAAAATAAGGCCTCTATTGTCGAGATTACAATGAGTTCACTTAAAGCCAACAAAAGAATAAGGTCATTTACATATAATCAAATGTCTAAGTAACGCCTTTACAAAAGATGACAAAAATGAGCTATCAATCTATTTCTAAGCTTGTGGGGATGCATCATCTACAATGTCCTTGCAGTGTCTTGAAAATATTAGAATATAGAGTGAGCACAAAGGCTCAATAGAGATAGCCTAAAGTACACTTCTTGTAATCCCGTAAATCATACCCAAAGTAAAGAATAAAACAACAGAAATGAAACATACAATGTGAGGGAGAAACGATCATAGAACATATACTTGAATTTCATGCTTTTCAAATGAAGAAATGAAATGTAATGAGACGCACTCTCCCCATTTCCGAAACCAATTCCATCACAATACTACCCACACCGAAAATGTTAACATAACCCGACCCTATGCAACTCCTAGGTGTCACGAAGGGAATTGGCTAGCTATCCCTGACCTAGGGCGTCTCTCTAGCGTCATTTGGAGTCTAGGTAGCTCAATTATACACGTCCAAAATCCGTCTCGTGCCCTCTTCAAGGTTGGTTAACCCCTGGACCATATGGCAACTCTAAGGCATCCGGTTTTCACAAAAACCTTTTCTAAAAAACTTTTCAATTTTCAAATAAACTTTTCAAAACCTTGTAAAATCATTTGATTATCCCTTTCTAACCCATGAACCCAACCACTATTCATGATATGCATGTTATATATCAAATCATTCACATTTCTCAAGGAAATCAACTTACAATAATATCAAATTTAACATGTTTTAGCTTGAATAAACTAAATCATCATATCTAGAGCATGATTCATGTATAACAACAACTAAATCAAGGAAATCAACAAGAAGGAAAAAACATCTACCGCATAATCATACTTTTCAACAAATACATATATAAGAAACTCACAAAGATTAAAGAAATTGTAATTTAAACTTCCCTACCTCAAATAGAGAAACCCAAAGCCTAGATCCCAACTCGAAATCCCACTAAATGGATGCAAGACCGGTGTCAAAATGTAGCCTTTGTCAAGCTCTACAACTATTCTAACTATGGCATAAATCAAATCTCACTCCATCATGGAGAAATCTTAAAGAGAAGCTAGAGATGTAGAGAGAGAAAGGAAAAGATGAAGCAAGAAAAAGGAGTGGTGGGTGTGTGTCTGAGAGAGAGAGAGATGAATGATGACATTGAGTGGTCCAAATGATTGACTCTAGACCCTTTTAGGGTAAATGGTCAAAGTCTCTTCTACCAAATGTTCCTAATGCCCAAAATGACCATTAAACTCATCCGAACTATATTTAAGCCACATAATATCTTTTTCCACCTCAACATATATATAACTATATATATACATACAAATCAATGCTCAAATAAATAAATGCAATAAAATCACTAGGACTTGCATAACGCGTAAAACAATGGCAAAAAAATAAAAATAAAAATAAAAATAAATACCGAAAAATCTAGTACATTACAATCATACAACACTCTTTTACCAAATATATTTTAATATTTTTTCTTCCAAATATATTTTAATATTTTTTATTGAAACAAATTTTATGTTACCAAATATGCTTCCCATCACAAATGAAGATATTCCACAACAAAACGCAAAACAAAGACGATAGCCAAACAGATTGTGATAACCCCAGATTTTTGAATGCGGGTTGGCCAGGCCCACACCTGAATACCCGAGGATATAAAAAACAAATCGGTAATAAACAAACACAGAATACAAAAGGATAAATAAGAATAAATAAAAATGCTGAAATGAAATGAACACTAAAATGATAATCCAATAAATCCTCAGAATAAATTTTTAGTAAATAATAAAATATTCTGATGCAACTAATATCCAATACAACTCGGGAAACCATACTGTGTGGACCCCTAAAAAATCCCAAACCAATATAATCAACGGTCAATAACTAGATACTGAATCATAAAGGAAACTCCTGTGTAGATAATCTGGAAGAGTGAAGTAGATTGATCCATACTCAGAATGAATAATATCTACTCCTAACGAACACCTAAAAAATAATGGTGGGTTAGGCCCACAAATAAGTTTTACTCGACTACAGTCCAAGTAGAGATCCGATACACGTATACATTCTAGTCAATCCAACTCTATTATGCTTATTTCTGGATTTATTTGATGTGATATTATAACTGTTTAAACTCATAGCATATATATGTAAATCATACTTCCTGAGATTTAAATATGTCAATTTATATAAC